CTCTCTTCCCTCCTCCCTCCCCTCTCCCTCTCACACAAACACCTACCACCCCACGCTCATCCTTATCTAACGCCCTCCAAGCTGTAACACTAATTGCCGTAGCGCTTCTCCGTTTGCATTCCCGCATCCTGGCCCCCGTCCTCCATTCACCCTACCCCGGCTCGAAGCTTAATAACATCTAGACGTTCGGATTATTTCCCTGAGACAACGATTTCATGTGTATTCATTCGCTGCCCAGCAAGCTTCGGTAGCTGCGACGCTTGTCTGTGGGGGGGCGTGTGTGTGTGTGTGTGTGTGTGGGTGTGGGTGTGTGGGTATGTGTGTGTGTGGGTGGGTGTGGGTGGGTGGGTGTGTGTGTGTGTGTGTGGGTGTGTGTGGGTGTGTGTGAATGTGAATGTTTGTGTATGTTTTCTTTTGTTTTGTTTTGTGTGTGCATGTGTGTTGTGTATGTGTTTTGTGTATATGTACGTGTGCTTGTGTGTCAATGTGCATGTTGGTAATGTCCAGCAGCCCAGTCACAACGCCCGATGCAAACCACACTGTGTAGCAAGGTGTGCCCGCCATGCATTGTAAAAACACAGCCGACACACATACCTGCTGGTGCTGTGACGACGTGTGACACACCAACGCCGCGGCACTCACTCCATCACCAGCGCTATCACCAGCGCTATCACCACCATCACCATCCCCAGAGCTGCTCCCGTGCCGTCGCCTTGCGGGCCCTTCACACGATGGGCAAATCCATGGCCCCACCTAGATACACCAACACATGGTGGGGGAAGGTGAATACACGCGCAAGGAATACAGCAGCCAACGCCCACAGACAAGCACAGACACGTACACATACACATACACCAACGCAGACACAGACACAATACACGTACACACGCATGTACACCAACGCAGACACAGACACAGACAAATACGCATACACATACGCATCGACCAAAACCGATGTTCATGTACGCTACCGGCAGTGGGACGCGGTGGCCGTCAGCTGTTGTCGGAAACCAATTCCACGCGTTCTTGCACATGGAGCACACAACACGCGGTGTCACGTCTCCGTGCTGCCGCTGCTGCTCGTGCTTGAGCGTGCACGCCTCACATTTCCACGTCGTCTATGTGCACGCACGCACACCCAACACGCAAAGGGGATGAGCACCAACACGGCCACTGTGCACCATGTCTGCACCACTCTACATCGCACCACATCACCACACCACACCACACACAGGATCACACACTACACACCACACACCACACACAATCACACCACACCACACCACACCACACCACACCACACCACACCACACCACACCACACCACACCACACCACACCACACCACACCACGGCATGTGTGCTGCCGTACCGCGAGGTTGTGTTGGCTGAGTGATCGACGATGTTCGCGAAGGGACCGCCGGACATGGCTCGACTCCAGGCACTCGCTGGGGCACACCGACACGCACACATGAGCAAGCAAGCGCGCAAAGAGAGGCAGCGAGGCAGTGTGGGAAGGAGGAAGATGCAGAGTGACTGTGTGTGCGTGTGCGTGTGTGCGTGTGTGTGTGCGTGTGTGCCACAACCAGACAGACAGAGGAACAGAGAGACAAACGCACGCACCAACAAATCGATATGCATCAATCGCCAGCACGTGTGTCTACGCAACAGCGCCAGCGACCGCAATGACCGTGCACACACGCAGTCTTCACAGGGTGTTGGTGGTGGTGGTGCTCATCAGACTCACCTGCAGAGCAACTCCATGCTGACCTCTGCTTCGTCATCTTCCTCCTCCTCCTCCTCGCCGCTGTCGTTGCCGCCTACTTGTTTCTGCTGCCCCGCATTTGCGGTGTTGCTGACGAGGCGCATGCCCAAGCCATCGCCATCAACATCACCATCGTCATCACTATCACCATTACCATCACCGCCATGATCAACACCAACGATGATGTGCTTGGCCTCCACGGTGCTGCGCTCGCCACCATCATTGTTGCTGCTGCTGCCCTTCGCTAACGCCTGAAGGCGCGGGTGCTGCATAGCCTGCTGTACAATCGCGCCTGAGCGAGGAACCCCATCGAACAGACACAGCACCATTGGCCATCATGATAGGAGTAAGCGGCAGAAGCAACAACCTCCACATGTGCTGTTGCAGCCGTTACACCAAGCAAGCACCGCCAACCGCACACACACACACACACACACGCACCAGATGGGCGGACGATGTCCAAGTTGATGCACGCCTCGACGTCTGGGTCTGGAGGCTCCAGGGCATCAAACTGGGACTGGAGTAGCGCAGCCGGCATGAAGTGCCCTTGGCGCTGCTTCATTCGCCGCAATATCAAGTTGAACGGGCCCTGCAAGTGCACAAACAAGACCTGCCCGCGAATGTCAGCAGCCAACACGTCCCGGTACACCTTCTTCAGCGCCGAGCACGCAACAACGCCCGGCTTTCCTGCTGCCACCCACCTGTGTGTGTGTGTGTGTGTGTGTGTGTGTGTGTGTGTGTGTGTGTGTGTGTGTGTGTGTGTGTGTGTGTGTGTGTGTGTGAATGAACATGGGGTTGCACGTCAAGATGGAGTTGCATGCAAAGATACGACACTGAGCACGGCAGTGCACATATTGACCACACAGATACACACACAAACACACAAACACACACACACACACACAAACACACGCACACACGCACAAACACACACACCGCTTCATGTATTTGTTGATGTTGAGGAGCCATGGGATACGGTCTGCGTCTGTGAGCGGCGTGCCCGAGCGCATCTTGGCAATGTTCGATTGCGGATGGAAGCCATCGCCGTCTACCCACTCACAGCCCAGTTCCTGTGCCAGGTGCGCCGCCACAGTGGTCTTGCCACACCCAGACACACCCATCACCACCACCACCACCATAATCGTCTGTTGTTCGCCGTTTGTTGTTGTTTGTGTGCATTTCTTCTGCTGTTGCGTCATCATCATCATTGTTTCGTGGCGGGTTTGGTTTGAAAACACACACACACACACACACACACACACACACACACACACACACACACACACACACACACACACGAGACTCTTTGACTGGAACGAGCACGATGGCTGGGGGGCGACGCACCACCCGGGGCGCTCCAGCATCGGAGGCGACGCGCAAGACGACAGCAGGAACAACCACGCGTGGTGATGAGGCAGTCGAGGACGAGGGTGAAGAAGAGTGGCAGCACGCAGACGAAGAGGCACGGCTGGTGGCACTCCAGCAATACGACGTGCGAGACATCCCAACAACAGACAAGGAGGCTCGCGCGCAGGTGCAGGCAGGGCTGGACTTTGAAAGAGAGCAGTACCTGCCAAACACCACCAACGGACACGGGCACGGTGGTGGCCTGAGCGGTGCTGTTGGCACGGAAGACGAGGATGATGATGCTGGTGATGATGACTTTGACGATGGCTTTGATGATGACTTGGAAGAAACCGATGATGACGACGATGCTGGTGGTGGTGACAGTCACAAGCAGCAACAGAGCACGGCATCCTCCACGCCTCGGTCAAAGCAGTGCACCCACAGAGGTGCGCGTTGCCAATCTGGGCTTCGCCCGAGTTTGATCCAAGAAACCCAAGGCTATGTGAAGCACCTGACGCGCCCGCAGAAGCGCGCGTTCTGCCAAGCGATCCTCGCCAGCTGTGTGATCCCACCGCAGACGTCCAAGGCAGGAGCACGCGCCCGAGTCAAGTATCAGCTCGCAGGTATTGTGTTGCACTCCATTGGTGTGTTTGTTCGCTTGCACAACAAACATCCCGTTGGAGAACTGCCACAACCTCACACCTCCTGTCTTTGTTTCCGTGCAACCAGGTGTGCGCTTGTGCCAGGGCTGCTTCCTCTCCGTGCTCGGTATTGGCCGAAGGTTCCTGTTTGAGGCCATCGCTGACATCAAGGAAGGACACATTGTGCCTTCGCCTCGCAAGCCCAGGCCTGAAACGCTGCGCCGCCGGAAACAGAAGAAGCAGGAGGAACCAAAGGTGCCAAAGACGCGGGAAGCCGAGGCATTTCTCGCCGGCTTCATTGATGCCTGGGGTCTTCAAACCCCATCCGGGAGAGTTTCACGCGTCCTTCTTCCCATCCACTTCACCAAGCGATATGTGTACAAGCAGTACGCCGAAGACTCAGGTGTGTATCTGCTGGTGTGTGTGTGTGTATGTGTGTGTGTGTGCGTGTGTGTGTGTGTGTGTGTGTGGTGTGTGTGTGTGTGTGTGTGTGTGTGTGTGTGTGTGTGTGTGTGTGTGTGTGTGTGTGTGTACTCCCTTCCCTTTTTCGTTGGCTCACATGGCTGTGTGCTCACTTGCCAAGCACAGATGACCCTATTGCAGAGAGCTCGTTCCGGCTCGTTTGGCTGCAGAACCACCCCACTGCACGCCGTGCCAAGAAGGAAACAGACGTGTGCGATACATGCACCCTGCTTGCTAACAGCCACGACACAGAAGCCCTGTCCGATCACCTTGCTCGTGTGAAGCAGGAGCGGCACTTTATGAAGCAGCAGGTGCAACTCGCGTGCGATCAGCCTGGAACTGTCGCCGCCCTGTCGTTTGACTTTGCGGCAACGGTGCGCTTGCCCCACTTTGTCCGTCAGCGAAAGGTGAGCGGCGTCTGCACATTATGTATTTGCCGTGCGCCCTCCTACAGACACCACTGTCTTGTCTCGTGTCACACTCGCTCTCGCACGCTCACGCTCACACCCTGTTGTTTGTGCGATGCAGCAATTCTACTACGAGTCTGGCTTGAAGGCGGACATCTTTGGCATTGTGTTCTTGCCAACATGTCAGCAGACCAACTACGTCATCCCAGAGACAACGGCACCAGCCAAGCGCGGGTCTGACCTGGTCATCTCGCTGCTCTTCCAGTACCTGCAGTCCATCACCCCACGCCCTCAAACCATCTACCTGACGGCCGACAACTGCATTGGGCAGAACAAGAACAAGAACATGATGCGCTTCCTCAGCCTGTACTCCGCCCGCTACAACTGCGACGTGTACCTGCACTTCATGATCCAGGGCCACACGCGGACCTTCCACGACGGCGGCTTTGGCCACATCAAGCGTGCCATGAACCTGTACAACGTGGAATGCCCGCGCCAGCTTCGTGAGCTGGTGGATGACTCGGCGTCCACCAACCACGCCATCGACGCTGACACGGTGCCCCAGCGCAAATACTCTGCACTGCTTCGTGCCATGGCTGCTGATGTCACTGCGCGTGTGCCGATCAGCGGCAACCACCACTTCAACTTTCGCAGCGACACCCCTGGCGTGATGTTCTACCGTGCAAGCCCTATTCACGAGTGGCAAGCTTTCCAACTGCTCGACCCAAGCAAGGTCAGAGACACGGCCAACCCGCGCACGTGGCTGACGTCTGCACCGCCTCTCCGGCGGCGTGAGATGACGGAGGCGCGCGTGAAGCAGCTCACGCACATCCGCGACGAGTACCTGAGCGACCTGCCTCAGGCGACACAGGACGACTTCTTCAACGTCGACCTGATGCGCAGCAAGCAGCAGGCCATCACCACTCACGACCAGCGTCCACCGATCCCGTCCGTCGTGCTTCAAGCCTAAACCACACACACACACACACACACACACACACACACACACACACACACACCCTGCTACCCCCTTCCTAAACAGAAACCTACACGACCTTAACAAAATTGACCTAAGCGCCCACACCCCACACGATCGACACTCCCATCAATAAAAAAGACCATAACTAAGGTTTAGAGCATCGAATGAAGGTGATTCGAGTGCCATGGGGTCGGGCACGGAGAGGGTGCCCTGCTGCTACGGCTGCAGGTCGATGTTGTCGCCCCTAAAGCACATGGCGACGACATACACACCACCCCATCAGACAAGCAAGCAAGCGCACACTGTGAACAAGCGTGTGCCTTTCCGTTTGCCAATTGCACTACGCGTGTGCAATTTGCAAATCGTTTCTGCACGTGGGTGGCAAGACAAGAAGCAAGAAGTGCTGAAAGTCAAGTGCACACAGCACAGACACACGCACACACGCACGCACACACACACGCACACACACACATCACACGCATCACATCACAGCCATGTCTGAGGACGGAGATCTGGAGAGCTTGATTGGCAACTCCAGGACACTGCAGTCGTTCACCTCTGCAGCCCTTGAGTACGCACTCCATATCATGTTTTACTGTGACTTCACGCAGCTTTTGCAGTCACACACGCACGCATGCACACACTCACACACAGACACAAACACACGCACACCCGCACACACACACCCGCACACAAACACACCCGCACACACACACACACACTCTCTCTCTCTCCACCCCTCTCTTGTGTACACGCACTCATCTTCTTTCACGTACTTGGGCACAACAGAACAGAACATGAGGACAGCGGTGACGGGAAGCCGTTGTCGCGCAGGCAGCGGCGTCTGCGCCAGCGTGAACGCGCAAACCTGGAGGCCAGCCTGAAGCAGGAGGAGCTGGTCCGTGCAGCCCGTCAGCAGGAGCGTGCGGTACGTTTGCACTGTGCGAACTGGTGGGAAAGGTGAACGGGGCTGAAGTGGAATCATGTGCATGCCCAACGGCAGCAAACAACATCTTCCAGTCACATTGAGCAAGTGCAGAAACATGTTTTCCTCTCCTTCTCTCGCTGGCAACAGCGGGCGGTGCTGATGCGAACGTTTCCCCAACCTTTGTTGCCTTGCCCCTGTGCCAGGATGAGGAAGACGCAGCAGGACCAGCACCCCTGCCCATCAAAGTCAGAAACAAGATCACGCTCCCAAAAGCAACACCCAAGTCCGAGCTTCGATCACTGCCAAGCGACAGCAAGGACACCAAAGACGATGACCAGGATGAGAGGACCGGGCCCAGGACCAAGCGCAGCAAGAGCGCAGCTGCTAGTGGTGGTGATGACGAGGACGACGCAGCGTTGATGGAGATGGCTGCCGCTGATAGCGCGCCGCTCCCGCCCACAGCACTGTATGTGCCAGTAGTGCCCTGATCTTGTGCTCGGGCAACCGATGTGTCTCCCTCGCGTTTGCTCCCGCTCGCCTACATGAGACTCGTTCCTGCCCGCTGTCACCTGCACTCACGTTATGTACTCGTGGTTAGGCTACGCGACACTCCACATCATACAACACATCAGCCCACTACACGCTCATCGTCCCCCACATGTGCGCACACGAACTGTGCAGGCTGGCACTTCGCAAGGAGGAGATTGCAAGCGCATGCTCTGCTGTCCTGGAAGCGCCAGAGACACACATTACCAAACTCGGCTCCATCATTGACGTAAGCTTCTTGTTTTGAAGCGATGCTGGCTGTCTCTGCATGTGTGTGTGTTGTGCTGTGTGTGTGGTGTGGTGTTGTGTTGTGTTGTGTTCATGTGCTCGTGGTTGCTGTGTGTTCTTGTGTGTGTTCTTGTGTGTGTGTGTGTGTGTGTGTGTGTGTGTGTGTGCGTGTGTGTGTGTTGTGTGTTTGTGTCTGCAC